GAGAGGAGAGAGAAAGGAAGGAGGAGGAAGAGGAGCAGCAGGAGCAGGAGAAGGAAGAGGAAGAAGATGAGGAGGATGAGGAAAAGGAGGAGAAGAGGAGAGAGTTTTCCATGAAGTCAGAACAGGAAGGTTAAGACATACAACTTCCTAGATAAATTTAACAAAATACTAGTATTTATTGTGATCTCTGTCTGTCTGTAGTTTTTGATCATGTTATTTAAGTTTCAATCTATCATAGAAGCTATTGTGAATATGTGTGGTGTCTATAATGCAAATCGAACGTTTTTCTAATGACAATTTTCATTCTTTTTGAGCAGTTGACATCGACACTGTGACATCTTCACACCGCCCTTGGAATAATCACACCGTAAGCATATCCCTCCTTGTGTTAATAGTGAGATTCACTTGTCTGTCTTCCTGGAATCATGTTGCATTTAAAGACTTTGTAAATCAATTTAGTTCACAGACTTTTGTCTCAAAAGAAGAAGAAAAAAATAGAAGAAAAGAAAAAGAGGCAGGCATAGTTGTTTATTCCTTCATCATAGGATTCAGGAAGCTGACACAGGAGATACCAAGTTTCAGGATAGCCTGGACTACCTGGTCAGCTTGAGTTACATAGCAATACCATGTCTCAAAGATCCCAGAGAGGGGGGTTGGGGATTTAGCTCAGTGGTAGAGTGCTTGCCTAGTAAATGCAAGGCCCTGGGTTTGGTCCTCAGCTCCGGGGGAAAAAAAGGATCCCAGAGAGACAGACAGTATTAAATGTATGATCATAAATACATTGAAAAGAAGAGAAGAATTTAACTCTAAAAAGGGTGTTAGGAAGCAACTTTGTTAGAGATATCCAGTAAAAGATATTTTACAAAGCAATGGAGGGAGGTAAGGACACAGAGAAACAAACTGACTGATTTTCTATGGTTAAAATAAAAAGAATGTGCTAACTAGAGGAGAATAAATTAACACATATTTTTGTATTCTAGTGCAGTATCAGAAACTATCATGCCATGTTGAAAGTATTACTAATTGAGCAGACTTGTACTGTTTTTAACACAATCCTGCATGTTGAAGTTGTACCTGAGCTTGGTTAACTGCAGTGCAGACATCTTTACCAGAAAGAAGAAATAATTTAGAATTAAATACAAAACAAAAAATAGCAACATCTGGACTCTGAAGCTGTCAATCTGGCTCTAGGTGCCTTGAGAACAGTGCACAGAGATACATTTGTGTGTGTGTGTCTAGGTTTGGGGTTTGTTTGTTTCTGAGACAGGGGCTCCTGGAGAACAGGCTGGCCTCAAATTCTCTATGGAGTTGAAAATGATCATGAACTCCAGGACCTACTGTCTCTACTTCCCAAGTCCTGGGATTACAGGTGTGCACCCCCATGCTTAGGAGCAGCACTATACATTTTAAACCTGTAGATTAACTTCCTGGATTCTCTCTCATGAAGAGATTGAAAAAAACATATGGGAAGATAAATGAGAAAGGATAGCCACTGCTGCCATAATTCGGATATCATAATCAGGAAAATGTTATGAAGTAAATGTCCACATGGGCATGGTGGACCTGCCTGTGATCCAGGCACTCAGAATATGTAGGCAGGAGGATCAGAAGTTCATCATATTGGCTGCATAGTGAGTCCCAGGCCAGCCTAGGATACAGGAGACCCTGTCTCAAAAACAACGAACATTATTTATATCCCCACAGTGTTTGTCAAGAAGGACCTGAGAATTCCCCTTCCAGCTAAACATGTTTGAGGACATAGAGACAGTGCTCACAGAGCTTAACTAACTTGTCCATAGTCTCCCTGACTAGGCAGAAGAACTGGGCTTGTGATTCCAGAGACGAGGCTCATTCACACAGTGGCAAAGACCTGGTCTCTATTTCTCCACTTCCCTGCAGTTAAACCCATCCCATGGGCTCTGTTTAGGGTTGGTAGATGAGTGCTAAGCTATTAGAGGGGCCTCACCTGCTGCCCAGCCTGTCTCCTGCTTATTCAGTATGTACTGATCCCTGATCACCTTCACCAGGGCACTAGGGGAGATTCTGCATTTCTGTCTGATCACATGGTGTTAATCAGGCTGCATCCAGGAGCAGCTTCTTCTGAATGGTTTATAAAGATGTAGATTTCGCCTGGCATGGGGATCCATGGCTTTAATCCTACCCATTACGGGGAAGAAGCATGTGCATTTCGGCATTAGAAGCAAGTCTGGTCTTCATAGAGAGTTCCAGGCTACCTGTGGGTACAAAGTGAGAGAGAGAGAGAGAGAGAGAGAGAGAGAGAGAGAGAGAGAGAGAGAGAGAGAGA